CAGGGCCTTTCTTCATTCTGCGCCACCCCCTGGTGGTCAGTGTGTGTCATAGCAAGCGATTGAACTCCCATTCTCCCCAGCCAAACTCCTGAGGGGACAATTTGCATATTTGCCTTTTATATATATAGACTAGAGGCCCGGTGCACAAAAATTTGTGCACTTGGGGGGGGGGTCCTTCAGCCCGTCCTGTGCCCTCTCACAGTCTGGGACCCCTCGGGAGATAACGACCTGCTGGCTTAGGCCTGCTCCCAGGTGGCAGAGGGCAGGCCCAATCTCTAGGTGCAGCCCCTGGTCGGGCTCAGAGCAGGGCCAATAGGGGAGTTGGGGCGCCGCCCCCTGTCATGCACAGAGCTGGGCGGATTGGGAGGTTGCGATGCCACCCTCAGTCACGCACAGGGTAGGGCTGATTGAGGGGTTGGGGCACCGCCCCCTGTCACACTCAAGGCAGGGTCGATGGGGAGGTTGCGGCGCCACCCCCTGTCACTCACAGATCATGGCCCATCAGGGGGTTGGGGCGCTGACACCTGTCACTCACAGAGCAGGGCCCATCAGGGGAGTTGGGGCTCCATACCCTGTCACACACAGAGCAGGGCCAATCAGGGGGTTGAGGAGCTCCCCGCTGTCACTCACAGAGTAGGGCCAATAGGGGAGTTGGGGCACTGCCTCCTGTCACACACAGAGCAGGGCGGATCAGGGGGTTGGGGCGCTGCACCCTGTCACACTCAGGGCAGGGCCGATGGGGAGGTTATGGCTCTACCCCATCACACACAGAGCAGGGCCCATTGGGGGGGGCAGGTTGGGGCACCACACCCTGTCACAGAGCCGCAGGGTGATCGGGGGTTGGGAAGCTCCCCCCTATCAGGCACAGAGCAGGGCTGATCAGGGGGTTGGGGGCGCCTTCCCCTGTCACGAACAGAGCAGGGCAGATAAGGAGGTTTTGGCCCCGCCCCCTGTCACACACAGAGCTGCAGGGCGATCAGGGGGTTTGGGCGCTGCCCCCTGTCATGCTGATCCTGGTGCCGGGAGGCCTCTCGGCTCTGCTGATCCTGGTGCTGGGAGGCATATTACCCTTTTACTATATACGATAGAGGCCTTGTGCATGGGTGGGGGCCAGCTGGTTTGCCCTGAAGGGTGTCCTGGATCAGGGTGGGGGTCCCCACTGGGGTGCCTGGCCAGTCTGGGTGAGGGGCTGAGGGCTGTTTTCAGGCTGGCGGGTGACTGAAGCTCCCAACTGCTCCTTTTTTTCATTTTTTTTTTTTTTTTTTTTTTTTATTCTGGGCCAGCTTTAGCTCTGGTTCCAGCTCTGAGGCCTCGGCTGCTGAAAGCAGGTATCTGGTTTGTTTGTGTTCTATAATCAAAACACTGTAGCAACTCCAGCTCTGAGATAACGGCTGGCTGAAAGCAGGTTTCTGGGGTTTTGTTTAGCTTCTATATTTGTAACAATGTTTCAAACTGCAAGCTCAGAGGCCGGCAGCGGCAGGCGGGGAACGTTGGTTTCCTCCGTCACTGAAGCAAGCAAGCCTCATGTTAACTTCAAGCTGCCTGGCTGCCGGCCACCATCTTGGCTGGCAGTTGATTTGCATATCACCCTGATTAGCCAATGAGAAGGGTAGCAGATGTACGGCTAATTACCATGTTTCTCTTTTATCAGATAGGATAATATTTCATTGTATGGCTATTTAACACATCTTCTTTATCCATTTATCAGTTGATGGACACGGGTTGTTTCCACTTAGTGACTCTTAGGAATAATGCTGTCATGAACATTCTTGTACAAGTTTTGGTATGATTATGTGTTTTGGTTTTGTTTTTTCCCCTTAGGTCTATATCTAAGAGTGGAATTGCTGGGATAGATTATAACTCTTTGTTTAACATTTTAAGCAACTGTTTTCCAAAATGACTCATTATTGTGCATTTATTCATTTCTCCACATCCTCACTTGCTATTATATTATTATTTCAGCTGTCCTAATGGGTGTGAAGTGGTATCTCATTGTGATTTTGATTTGCCATTTCCTAGTGATTAATTACCTCAAACACTTTTTCATGTACTTGTTGGCTGTATGTATATTTTCTTTCCAAAAAGATCTATTCAGATCCTTTGCCCATTTTTTTTTAATTTTTTTTTATCAGTATCGTCTTTATTGCAAATCAGTTAACAAAAAAAAGATGAAAAAAAATACATCATTTTATCACCTACAGTTTTGCATGTCGTTAACTTTCTTATTGGCTCTGAAAAGAGCCTTTGGGTTTTCGGTGAACTTTGGGTAACGGTTTACGCCCTCTCGCCGCGGATGCGGCTCGCGAGCTGGATGTCCTTGGGCATGATGGTGACGCGCTTGGCGTGGATGGCGCACAGGTTGGTGTCCTCGAACAGCCCCACCAGGTAGGCCTCGCACGCCTCCTGCAGCGCCATGAAGGCCGAGCTCTGGAAGCGCAGGTCGGTCTTGAAGTCCTGCGCGATCTCGCGCACCAGGCGCTGGAAGGGCAGCTTGCGGATCAGCAGCTCCGTGAACTTCTGGTAGCGGCGGATCTCGCGCAGGGCCACGGTGCCGGGCCGGTAGCGGTGCGGCTTCTTCACGCTGCCCGTGGCCGGCGCGCTCTTGCGGGCGGCCTTGGTGGCCAGCTGCTTGCGGGGCGCCTTCCCGCCCGTCGACTTGCGCGCCGTCTGCTTGGTTCGAGCCATTGCAAAGCAAGGAGAGGCGAAGCTGGGGATCCCTTTGCCCATTTTTAAGTGGGTTCTTTGTCTTCTTGTTGTTTGAGTTGTAAGAGTTTTTATATATTCTCATCAGAAAGATGATTTGCAAATATTTTCTCCCTTTCCGTGGGTTATCTTCACTTTCTGGACAGTGTCCTTTAATGGATGAAAATTTTTAGTTTTGATCAAGTCTTACCTATTTTTTCCTTTGGTTGCTTGTGCTTTTGGTATCATATCACATTATCTTTTCTTCCTTGAAGAATAAAACACACACTAAACTAGGAATAAAGAGACACGAGCTCTATTCTCACCTCTGCAATTACAGAAATGTGTGAGCTTAGGCAAGTGCTTAAACTCATTGGGAACTCAGTTCCACATCTGTGAGAAGAAGCTGGGTTCAGCAGAGCAGGCACTTTGTAACTTTTTGTGAGTATGTTATCTGTATGAAAACCCCTAGGTTAGTAGTTCTCAACCTGGATTACATGTGGCAGTCTCTGAAGACTTTTTTGGTTGTCACAGCTGGGGATGGTTGCTACTGGCATCTAGTGAGTAGAGGTCAGGGGTACCGTAAACATGCTACAATGCACAGGATGGCTCTTCCAACAAAGAATCATCCAGACCAAAATGACAGTAGTGCTGAGGTTGAGAAGCCCTGCTCTAAAATTCTATTTCTGTTATTCCAGCTTCTTTTCAGTGGGGATCTTTGAGGCTGTCTGCAGGAGCCAGAGCATTTTGTGCTCTTAACCTAATGTTAGAGGTCCCAGCCTTATGGGGGCAGTGGAAGGGAGAGGTACCAATAATTCTTGCAAGTCAGGAGATCTTTTTGAAAGTGTTTTCAGGGTTTTAAAAACTATTGTGCCTTCTAATATGAAGAGAAATATTTCGATACAGACACCTCCAGGCAAAGTCTTGTAGATGTGTTCTTGTTATTGAGTCCTTTTCTTTAGGGTTTCTGGAACAAAATAGTTTTTGTGAAATAGTTGGTACATACTATGAAGTATATTTAATCAATCATAATGGGAAAAAAGAAACAGAACAGCTTGATGGGAGAAACGTGCAGTTATATGTCTCTGTATTAGTGAATTCTTTGACTTCAAAGGAAGTTAATATTGTTATTCCAGCTGAGCAGTTCACTTCAACTTTATCCCATACTATCTACTGGAATGTCCTGATTCACCTGAGTTCCATAAATAATCTATCTAAAATAAAATAGACAGTATCTTGAAATATGCTGCAGCATTTATGAAGATATTGGCATGTAAAAAGCTATTAAACTTGCAGGTATTGCTTTCTTGTGATAATATGGCTGATTATTTCATGCTTTGCACCATTAGATATAATTGTTACCACCACAACCACCACCGCTGTTATCATCATAGACTCAGTATTCTAAGCACTGTATAAGTGTATCTCATTTTTTGTCACAAAAATCTTATGAGGTAGTTTTTTTTAATCCTCACTTTGCAGATAAGAGCATAAGGTGCAATAATGTTGTAAAATACTTGCTAAACCATTTCCATATTAAACATTTTCTTGTATACCAAAACTGTTTCTTATTTCAACAACAGAAAAAGTATGTTTATTATTAAATCTGTAAACATTCATGTCCTGAATTTTCTGGCACCCTAGGTAATGTTAATTAAAGCCTGAGTTATTTCTAATTTTTTTAATGTCTTGTGGTTATTGGTTCTTGTAGCTTATATACATACCCGGTGCACAAAAATTTGTGCACTCAGGAGGGTCCCTCAGTCCGTCCTGTGCCCTCTTGCAGTCTGGGACCCCTCGGAGGATGTCCACCTGCTGGCTTAGGCTCACTCCCTGAGGGATCGCAACTAAGCTGGTAGTCAGACATCCTTCTGGCAGCCCGGGAGCTCTCGGGGAATGTCCACTTGCCAGTGGGGAGCAGGCCTAAGGTGCAGTCGGTCATCCTTAGCTTTGCTGAGGAGGCGGGAGAGGCTCCCGCCACCACCGCTGTTCTGGCAGCCATCAGCCTGGCTTGTGGCTGAGCATAGCTCCCCCTGTGGGAGCACACTGACCACCAGGGGGCAGCTCCTGCATTGAGCGTCTGCCCCCTGGTGGTCAGTGTGTGTCATAGCAACCAGTCATTCCCAGTCGTTCTGCTGTTAGGGTCAATTTGCATATTGCTCTTTTATTATATAGGATGTAGCTTGAAGCTACTGTAATACTTTTCCATCTCCAGACACCCATGTGCATGTGTGAATATGTAATTATAAAATTGTAAAACTTCTCCAATATATATAAGTAATGAAAGGGTTTTTGTTTAACTTTTTTAAAATGTACAGGAAGCAGTAAAAGAAAACAACAAGAGAAAAGAAATGGAAGAGAAGACTAGGAGGGCAAAGCTTGCAAAAGAGAAAGCCGAACAAGAAAAGCTGGAACGCCAGAAGAAAAAGAAACAGCTCATTGATATAAACAAAGGTATGAAGTACTTCCATGTTTTAAATGATCTATAAAGTGCAAAATAATTGCACTTAATTAATTTTGGATTATGAAGTGAATTGTATTATTGGTAGAAAAATTCACAATATTATTAATTACTTGTGTTAAATTCTCTCATGAAATTATCTGCATTTCTTGTCACCCTACACTGAGCACTCAGGATTTTTGGCAACCAATTCAAGGTAATATGTTGTTGAAACAGTCTTTTTCTCTTTGTTATTTTATTTTTTTGCCAAATTATGTTCCAGATGAGGCAGTGGTGAGGGAAGAAGGGGGCAAGATGAAGAGTTTACTGGTATGGGGAGATGAGCCTTATAGCTCCAATTTTCATTTTGTTGACACAGAGCAGCAATAATTAACACTCTTCCTAGGGGGCTTGAACATTTCAAGTCATAATTGATACCGACAGCACTATTATAAACAGGAAAAACTACGGAGCAGCATCCTGCTCAGCTGTGAGCCTAGGAACAAAATGCTGGTATATCCACGTATTATAAAGTAGTTGTTTTGTTGGTTAGCAAGAACGACCATAGATTAAAGGTATTTTTTTTGTTTGGTTTTGTTTTCTTTCTACAGAAGAGAAGGTAAATAAAGTAATTGGCACCAGATAGCTTCCCCCTGAAAATATAAGAATGAAAAAGCATAGTCTTTGCCACTGAAGGTTAGAGAATTTAAAAACAAAGCAAAATCAGAGCAAGATACAAAACAATATGATCAATATGGACCCCCTATTTCTAAATACAGTGATAGTCAAAATCGTAAGCACTGTATAATGTTGAGCATGTGCCATGTGCTGTTCTCTTTCACATGTTTGAAGTAAATTAATCCTCATAACATCTCTATGAGGTAGGTATTATTATCTCACTTTCCAGATGAGGAAACTGAGGCTCATAGAAATTAAGGAACTTGCCCAAGGTCACACAAACAAATTATTAGCACCAAGATTAGAATCCAAGCAGTCTGGCTAGGGAATCTTTGCTCTTGTAAATGCATTGTCAAATAATAATAATAACCACAAACAAACAAAAAACATGTAGTGCTTGCTATGTACCAGGAACTTTCCTGGGAGATTTACATATGTGAACATATTTAAGTCTCATAAAATCTTATTAGGAAAGTGCTACTATCTCATTTTAAGATTAGAAAACTAGGCACAGAGAAGTTAAGTAGCTTGCTCAAGTTCACAAAGATAGTAAGAGATAGAACCAAAATCTGGACCTAGGCAGTCAATGGCCCAAGTTCATTAGTAATTATTATTATATATTTTATTATAATTATTAATCAGTATCAATTATTCTGTGGTAATATTTCTAAATGGCTAATCTGAAATAATATCTATACCCATTAAGCTTATCCTTCACAACATTAGAATGTACAAAAATGTTCAGGAATTGACTATAGTTTATGTTTTCTAACCATGAAATAAATATAACAATTTAAAGAACTAAAAAAGTAGACAGCTGAGGTAAAATAATAGTATCAACATCATTTAGCAATCTTCATAGAATATGGTCTTGTTCCCACACCACACCACACCCCCCTCCCCAAGTATTTATCAACTTTCCACTATTTTCCTAAAAACGTATCTATAAAGAAAAAAAGAAATAAAGGACCTATATTGATTGTGCCTATAATATATATTCTTGTTCACCAAGATTTTGTTAATTACCTCTTCAAAGAAAATTGAAGACATAGGATAAAGATCCAAATAACTTCTTAAGCACATGCTTGGCTGAGTGGTCTGAACATGAAAGACACACTTTAAAGATAGGATTTATCTTTGTGTGTTGTTACCTTATCTCTATTTACAGATCAAATAGCAAACTTCACCATGAAGTTCTTGATTTGTGGCCCATATGTTGCAAATACTTATTATTTTTATTTATTGTAATATTATTTTACACCACATATGTGTGTTAGTCCTTATAAATATTTTTCAACAGGAAAGCTTTTCATTGGAAGTGTATAATCTTTTTATTTAGATATTTCAATTTATTGTTTACATATTAGTCATAGTTGAAAAAGGAATTATAATCCCACTCTCTAGAACATGAGAAAACAATGGAAGGTACTGTTATACAAATGGAATATATGAACGTAAATGGTATATGTGATTTTCAACCACATTCATATTACACAGTTTTAAAATGATCTAATCTCTTACAATGACCAATTACTTATTTGAAAACATAGAGTTGATTGAGGATATATGCCACCTAAGTATCAGTTCAAAGACAAGACATAAACAATTTTATTGGTGGTACTTATTATGTGTGAAGAAAAGAACTGTTTACAATATATAACTATCATGTTTCAGGGGACATGATTTAACAGTTAACTTTTTATATTACAAAGCAAGTTTAAGTATTAATTATTTTAGAAATAAACCACTGAAACTGGAATGACATTTAACTATATTCAAAGAAGATGGTAAATTAGCTGACAAAATTTACCTACCTACTAGAGAAAATCTTAATCTGTTGAGATAGACAATGTAGGTAGGATTTAGCTTTTTGACACACAGAAAGCAACACCTGCTATTATGTGAACGTTAGTTTAAAAAAAAAAAAAAAAGCTTACTGCCACGAATACTTAGGTACTTGGCCAACTTCTGACCTAAGAGACATATGAAGCCACAACAAACAAACAGAACACCCCAGGAATAATAAAAACCTTCTTTCTTATCATAGCTTTATTTCTCTTCTGTTGTTTCAGTCTCCAAATACATCTGGCACAGCGCTGCATTAGGGCCGTATCTAAGCGCATCAGTCTCATCTCCCAACTCTGTTAACTGTTCCAGTGAACACACACAAGGATAATGGTCTTTTAACATATCTGGCAATTTAGAAGTCTTGTCTTGAAGACGTTGAAAATGTCTAGCTGGTGTCAGAAACTGTAGCTCTTTAAATGTAGAATTTGTTTTTTCCAATTGCATTTTCTTTTTTACATTTTGCAAGAATGGTGTAGTAGACACATTCTATTTAATTAAGCAACTCTCCCTAGTTTCTGCATTGAGGGTTTTAACATCATTGGTTATCTTGCTCTTTTTTGCAATCTTGAAATACCACATTTCTATGATGTTTATTTTCCATTTCAGGTTTTCCTGACTCTAGATTTGTTCTTCGGTTGAACAAGTCTCCTCAAAATTTTCTCCAAATGTAACTTTTTCTTGACTCTTCATTGTTAGAGTATCTCCAGTTGCATGTTGCATTTCTTCAGTAGGCCAAGCTCTTGCCAGAATGGCCTTCTCATAGATTGCGATAAGATTTCCAATAGAACTTGTAAGTGCTTCAACACGTGCATACCCAATATTTAGCAAGCTTTTTTTGGCATCTGAAATATTTTTAATCGGCTCATTCAGTGTGTCCAACATTTCTTCTTTGGGGCATCCCTCATTAATCAGCTTTAGGCCTTCACAAAATGTCCTGTTTACTTTTCCAGGAAATAGTCGGTGTTCATCTTCTGATGTGGTAGTCCAAAGGACCCAACTGATTTTTCATTTCCGGTTCAGGCTGGGGAACTACTGAGCGAGGAGGATTTTTAGCATTCTTCTTTTGCTAGCTCTCCACTCGCTCAGATGAGCTTTTCTTTCTTTGCAGTTTCTTTGGGATGAACCCATCTACATAATAGGTATCTCATCTGTCGATACTTGCTTTTGCTATAGTATGTCCACGTTGGTCTTTGGTTTTTGACTTTTCTATCAGTTTGGTGTTAGAAAATGAAGCAGGCCTGGCTGTGATTTCAGATGTGATGCTCCTTGATATTTTCTTATTTCTTTTTACTTCCTGAGAAGAGCTGGGTTTGACACTAAAGAAAACTATTTAATTGTAGTAATTCTTTCTCATGAGACCCTTTCCGAATTGTAACATTGGCAAAGGTTCTACTGATGCCTTGTTTCAGGGAGCCCAGGGTACTATGGGTATTATTGTGGTTTTCTATATGAATTGAACTCACATTGAACAATTTGGCCACAAGCACAGAGTTCTTGAGCATGTTAGCACCTTGCTTTAGTTTCCTGTGGTTACTTGTTTCTTTTTATTATTGTTTTAATGTGAAATGCTTGGATTAATGTCATACATTGACCTTGGGGCTCACCTTTAATTGGTAACAACTGCAGATTTTTATTATTATTGTCCAAATTATGTGTGTCAATTGCTATGGTCGAATTGGTTAATTCAGTAGAAGGTTTTAAAGGAATATACTTTTTTCCTGTTGTAATATTATTTTTGTGCCTTGTAGTTCTAAGGACATTTTCTTTATGAGACTTTTTTGTCTTAGGTTTCTTCTTGGACGTGATCCTCATGTGTCATCACTCTCTGGTTGCTACTGGATAATATCTGATTTTCCTGTTTACATGCAAAAAAAGTTTTTCTTTTGAACAGATGTTCCTTGAGTTTTTGTTTTCTTTGCTCTCCAAACATGAACTGGGCTCTCCGACTCAGAGGAAGCTGCGGGTCGTATGACACCGCTGGGGCGCTCATCTCAGTGCGAGGTCACATGTGGTCTTAATTAAGGTGAAAAGATGCTGAAAAGAAATAATAATTAGAACAGCATTGCGTGTCAAGAAGGAACTCAGTGTCAGTGAGCTTCTCAGACAGTGTCTCATAAAAAATGCTGTTGTTAACTAGGTGTAAGTCAATTACAGACATTCTGAGAACCTGGGAGGAAGCATGGTAGAGCTACACAAAATGTGACTCCATGGGAGCTGTGAGAATGACGTACAGTCAGAAAGTGATTTAGAGAACTTTAAATGTGTCCAATTAGAACAGTGTATTCCACTTGCCATTGCAGGAACATTGCAATCTTACTTTCCACTGAATGAGAGATGACAGAATATTTGACTGCCATTGTGAGATACCTATTTTGTAGAGCAGAGATTTTCAGTCTTTTTCATCTCATGGCACACAAAGTAATTACTAAAATTCCGTGGCACACCAAAAATATATATTTTTTGCTGATCTGACAAAAAAATAGGTATA